ATCCACTTTAATTTTTGCTACTTTGGCTGTGGAAGATGGCTTGTTGCTTAAAAAAATATCAATGCTGGTGGCAGAGATGTCACAGCCTTATCAACATCTACCTTATCAACAAGTCCTCAGCAGCTGACCACCAAAGAGAGGTATAATTCACTGAAAGCAGAGTGGACAGATGGAGAACTACTTGAACCCTGCTTACTTCCATTAATTTCTTTGCACTACCAGCAGTAGAAAGTTATATAGGAAATGTCCACTTTATTTACTTTTCTTGCTAAACAATGGGGATCGAAATATCAATGGGGATCAAAATATTGTGTTCTGAAGCAGGCAACATTTGTACCATAACTTGGCATACACCCAGAACAAGCTGATGTAATATTTCCATGGGAAAAATGATCCACTACACTTTGAAGTGAATGAGGAATATTGTTAAATCATTGTGGCAAAATCAACACCATAATGTCCCATTTGCAAAACAAAAGGTGTTGTCTGTGTTCTATCCCAGCAGTTCTCTAATTTGTTACTCAGTTTACATCTTCAGATTATAATGTGATCCAAGAACCTACTCCTCAAACATTCTGGCAGAATTTTGCCAGACCGCAGTTTCCAGGCTGGAGAGCATTTCAGTCCTCTAGTTTGGTTGTAACCAGCATGTTTCTAACTGTGAACATTTTTAAACATTACTGTTAATTTGCTAGATTGTTTTGTTGGCAGTGAAAAGTTTAGTTGCAAGAACTAAAATCCTTGATATGCATAGCTAGGACTGTGCTCCAACTCAACTCACTGAACTAATACAGATCAGCAGATACTTCACAAACTGCCTTCTTTCAGCAGATTCCTGGTCTGGATTAAATACCAAAGAAGACCGCTCCCTGCAGCGTTGAAGTATAAACTAGGTGAACTGAAAACAGTTCACCTTTATAAAGGGGCATGCAGACAAATTATTTTCTGCTTTACTAGCTCAGCAATTCAAATGTGTATCATCCGAACTTTATCTAGAATACTGCTTCCAGTTCTGGGCACCAAGATGTAAGAAAGATGCAGAAAAACTAGGAAAGGTCCAGAGGAGGGCAACAAAAATGATCCAGGGTTTGGAAACATTGCCCTGTGAGGAGAGACTGAGAACTGGGCACATTCAGCCTTGAGAAGAGAAGGCTGAGGGGGGACATGAAGTCCCTCAAAGGCTGTCAAAGAGGAAGCTCAAGATCTCTTCTTGCTGATGTAAGAGTGCAGGACACGGAATAATCAATTCAAGTTGTAGCAACCCAGATTCAGGCTGGACATCAGGAAAAGCTTCCTCACTGCCAGAGCAATATGACAGTGGGACCAGCTGCCTGGGGAGGTGGGGGGCTCTCCCACACTGGAGACTTTCAAGGCAAAACTGGGCAGCCATCTGAGTGGGATGGTTTGGCTTGGCATCCTGCACCAGCAGGGGGTTGGACCCGATGACCTTCTCGGACTCTTCCAACTCTACTATTCTATGATTAATGTGTTCATTTAACTCAGTTCACCAGCCTCCTTTAAAACATCGTTTAAAAATGAAAATGTGATGCAATAAATAACAGAGCAGACTTCTCTCCAGTAACACAGCAATAACTAAGCTTAAATTACACTGTGATTAGCCAAAGAACTTCCATAATTTTGTTCTGCGATGTTGTAATACATATATGCAATATTAATGTTACCGCTAATGTGGAAAACTACCTAAACTTCCGTGTTATCATGTTCAGCACAAAGGACAGAATTACAAAGCTGGATTTCAGTCTGAATGGAGTAGGCAACATGCAAATACAGATTTCAATATGGAACACTGCGTATAATGAGAAAACAAATTTTCCCAGTTCTAAGTACATAGTATATCCTTTCCTGTGTCCATTTCCTAATCAAATAGCTGCAGCCTGGATTGTTCAGAACAGCTGTGACAGAGTTTGGAGAGCTCAGACATTTCATTACACTTTCTGAACACTGACACAAACCCATGCTATTACAGGGATGAGATTTTGCACTATTTAGCTTTACTCATCAAAAAAAAATGGAAATACTGTCACGCCTGCAAAAACAATCACCAGTCTAAAGAATATGGACTTTCAAATCTTTCAGAAACACTCTCAATGCACATAGGCACCCTTACCAACAAGGTAAGACACAAATCAGTGTATGTTTGGAAAAGGCTGATGAAATTGATTTGGAAAAGAAAAATTAAATGAAGAAAACTCTGGATTCACACAATGGGGCTGATCACACATAATGCTGGGGAATACCACAAATTTACCTTTCTTACCTTGTGTCACACGGTCACAAGGTAATTACTGATGAGTAGGTTCCACAAGCCTCCAAGTTCCCTCCAAACGGCAGCACGAACCCCTTCAGCTCCCACAGCTGGGAAGCAGCACCGTCATGAACTGCTCCTACCCTTCCTTCCTCCCCGGTGTTCGGCTGCCTGCCACTGCCATGCCCGCCACTCCCCTTGCCAGCCTTGCAAGGTTTGCATGCGAGCGAGACACCAGCCTCACAGGGCCCACGCCTTGCAAGACAGCTCAGCCATCGCTCAGCTCAGCAGGCAGGGTGGTGGAAAATGGTTGCTGGAGCACCCGTGGCTGCCACTCTTGCCACCGAACTCACTGGGCAAAACAGGGAAACAGCAGAAAAACACTTTAACCAGCTTCACATATGATGGTGAGTAGTGCCAAAATGTGGAACCCTTCCAACAAACTGCTGGCTCTAGGTGGTAAACATGCCGCATTTCACGTTTCTGCTACTCCTGCCACAGCTTGCCATTGCGTGAATCCAGCCGGTGGGAATGCAAGGCACTTGGTCTGCTCCACGAGGACCATCTTCTTTTCAAGCTCCTCAAGGAAATCTCTCTCCATTTTTTAAGCTCTCTCAACCCCAGTAAGTGCCCTCCTTTCCCCTCCTCTCTCCCTTCAAATATTCCTTCCACAGGTTGCTCCTCCAGGGCCAAACAGATGTGCAAAGCCACTTCATGTCCCACTCCATGCAAGCAAAATTATTCCCCTCCCCTGCAAGCCAGACATTTGCAGTGCCTTTAACTTTCCCACTTCTTGTTCTACAACATGAGATTGAACTGGCTTTAACTGCTACAAGGTACTCAGCACTGTGAAGGTGCAAAATATTCTTTACTGTGGCATAAAGTTCAACAACCAAACTACCCCTTTCCCCTTGCCACAACATGCCGATATTTGCACTAGCAAAACTCACTGCCTCCAGAGATCACCTACTGGAAGTCATTAAATTGAATCCATCCATCTATGGACAATTTTAGATCTCACATTAAATATGTTTCTTTCTGGAAGGACCCAGACCTCAATGTGGAGAACTATCTAAACAAACATTATATATCATGAGACCAAGGAGCCATCAAAACAACTCCAGAAGAATATTGTGCAGAAGCACCAGTTTGGCTGGGTTATTTAAAAAAAATCCTACTTACATAGGCACATTCCTTAGAGCACCACTGTTACAAAACAGAAATATGTCTCAACTGCAACTCCACCTAAAGGAGGGCATTAGAGCAACAACCAAGAAGCCAATGACAACCCCAAAGAACCTTAACTGAAATGGGAAAAACACCCATTGGAGCACAACTGCCCAGATGTTCCACATAACTGGGCTTTATGGGAAGGGTGGCAAAGCCCATCTGGAGCTTGCACAATAGCATGTGGCAGACACCACCCACACCTGGAAAAACGTTCTTTGGTTTGAGGAGACTAAAGAGAAATTTTCACCCTGCTGAAAAGTACCATGTGCAGTGCAAAGTCCTGGGAATGCCATCCACCCCATGAGACTTGCGGTGGCAACATCATGCTGCAGGGATGCTTTACCCCAGCAGGAATTGGGAAGCAGGTCTACTAACTGAGGGAAAGACCGATAAGGCCAAATACAGGCTAAATTTAGAGGAAAACCTGTTTCCATCTACATGGGACCTGGAACTGGGGTAAGGTTCATCTTCCAGCAGAAGAATGACAGCCAAAGTAACACTGGAGTGATTTCAAAAGAAGAACCTGAATGTCTTGGAACTGCCCACTGAAACTCTGTAGCAAGACTTGAAAGTCACTGTTCACCAATAATCTCCATCCAACCTAACAGAGCTAGTGCAGTTTTGCAAACCTTGGGCAAACATTGCGGAATCCAGATGTACACCGCTGATTGCTACTTCCCCAAGACGACTTGCAGCTGTAATTGTTCCTCAAGGTTCTTCTACCAACTACTGGGGGGGGGACCTACGCCATGAAGAGCCTGTCTTTTGTGTCCCTCCCCTCCCCTCAAACCACTCTGCCTTCTAGAGAACTTCCAAAACACACCAGCATCAAACCTCAGCTGACAAGCTTCCTTCCAAGAGACCCTCGAAGACTCAACGAGTCGTGTTCTGCCCATGCAGTCGGGCTCTTGGCAACCCACCGGTCAGCCATCTGGGAGGGTTGTAAGGAGGCCTAAGTGTGTGCATGCCCCCCAACAGCTGCATTGGAAACTCAAGAAAAAGTGTGTCCCCCCAACAGCTGTGTTGGAAATCCAGGGAAAAGTGTGTCGTCGTCCCCCCCCCCCCAACAGTTTCGTTGCAATTCAGGGCGCCGCAAACCTCCAAACAGGTGCCTGGGGGCTGATCACAGGCTGGACGGGAGGTGAACGACCCGCGGATGAATTCGAGGGAGGGAGGAAAGGAGACTAAGGCCTCCCCCTCACCAAATCCAAGGGACTGGATCGGGACCACCAGGAGCAGGCGAGGCGCGCGCGTTGTCCTCCTCCAGAAACGCATCGCCAAGTTTCCAGGACTAGGGACGAGACCGCGCTCATGGGCAGCACTGTGTGTGTGGGGGGGGGGGCGTGCAAGCAGCGCAGAGCAGCCCCCACGGCTGGCGACGGTGGCCCTGACTCCCCCGGGAGCACCCTTCGGCTTCCCCCGCGGTTCCCCATCCCCGCAGCGACCCACGGCGGGGCGCCCTGCCGGCCTCCTCCCGTCGGCTCCCCCCGCCCGGGCCCCTTACCCAGCAGGACCGGGGGGCCGGGGAACCTGCGGCCGCCGCCGGGCGGGCGCCCCCGGAACAGGCCGCCCCCGGCGCCCTGCAGCGAGCAGAGCAGGACCAGGACCAGGACCAGGACGAGAAGGGCCAGCGGCCGCGCGAGCCGCTCCCTCCGCCCGGGGCCGGCTGGCGCCGCCATCCTCTCAGCACATGCCCCCCGACTCTTCGCCGCAGGACCGAACACCACGCACAGGGGCTGCGGTACAACCACGCCCGCTCCTCCCCCGGCGGAGCCGGCACGCCGGGTTAAAAAGGGAGCGCTGGCCAATGGGTTTCTCGTCCCCGACCCTGCAGCCAATCACGGAGCGGCAGAGGCGTGCCGGCCCGGCCTTCTCCACTTCCAAGCACGGGTAGTTGAGAATCGGTGCATCGATGGGCAGACTAGGACGGGACGCCCGGGCCAAACCAATCGCAGATCGATCCGAGCCGATCCTGAGCGAGGTGCGACCCGGGCTGCCCCGGGGCTTGCGAGCCTCGCCGCGGTGCTCGCCGCGGCTGGGGAGGAGTGGCTGTGCCAGCAGCTGGCGAAGGCGAAGTAATGCAAAGTTTTCTGGGTAGTTTGCCCGTGAACGCTGGAGCACCGGTGGAAGCAGCGGCCGTGTCCGTAACGCTTCTCGGGCTCTCCGTGGAGCGATGCGTGTTGCTTCGCATTGCATTTGGAGGGCAGCAAGGTGCGGAGCGCGCTGCACGTGCCCTTGGCAGTTGCGTGGGTCTGTGGGCGCCCTAGCAAGACAGAGCTGGGCATCGCGGGACTCGCCCGTGAACGCGAGAGCTCCCCTTGCCCTGCCACGGAGCAGCCCCCTGGGGCTGGAGCACTGGAACAAGTTTGCTGCTGGAATGACGACTTGGCCACCACGAAGCCTCGCAAACCTTGGCAAGGGTTATTTGTCCTATCATGTGACAAGTCCTAATTTAAGCCCTCTTGTCCTGGCATGTTCCCTGCCCCCTCCATGCTCTGAAATAGAAGAGCTCTAATCAGGGTATTCTGCAGGCGCTGCAGGGCCAAATTAAACCCGAGATGATTCTGCCGCCGCCGAAGTGCTGCTGTGCTTTATGCATAATGCTATAAACCAACCTGACACTGCCTGGCATTTTGACAGTATGTCCCAAGAAATTGCACTGCCCATAGGCATTATCTCAGTGACTCCAGAGGCAGCCCCTTGGGTTCAGCCAGGTGAATTACCCCTTTGGGGCAGGGGTTTGGGCGAGCTGCGCTGGGCCACTTGGTAGTTTTGTGTGTCAGGCGGGATTTTTGCTGTAGTTTTCCATTTAACCACTACGCAGATTGGTTGGTTGGTTTTTAGTTTATTTACTGGCCTGGTCCTACTGGCTGCAGGAGGGCAGGTAACGGGGGGGGGGGGGGGGCATGAATCTCACAAAAGATCTGCCTGCTTTTGTCCTGCTGGGTGGAGAATTGTTCGAGATGCTAGAGGGTGCTCATCATCTACATTGTGAGTAATTTTGCATTGTCAAAAAGGGGGAGAAGCAAAAAGAAATTACCTAGAATGTGCAGATACTGACCTACATGTACGGGTGCAAATTTAGAAAATACAGTTTTACTTGCAAATAGAAGTGTTCTCTTTTACTTACTGAGAAAGATTTTTTTTAAGCTGTTTATTAAAATTTTTAAACTAATACTAAAAACATCAATCATCAAATACATCAGATGTACTGGGTCAGCCCCCTACTACATATCTTTTAACATTCTATAGTCATATTCAAATCCATTTATAGTAACTTAAAAACATCTTTAACTCTAAGCCAAGTCCCATTTCTCCAGCCAATAATAAAAAGAAAAATCCCAAGTTTGATAGAAGTCGGTATCTTCTTTCTCCTTCAGTGATAAAGTCAATCTATCCATTTCTGCATCACTGGTAAATTCATTTGACCATTTCAATCATTTTGTCAAAGGATAATTCTTCATTTTTCCAGTATTAAACAGATAGACTCCTCACCACAAAGATTACAAGTAAAATCAAATACATTTCTTATTTACTAATGTTCCAATATAATACCTACTAAAAAAGAAATTTCCAGTTTAAGAAACTAGGAATTTTTGTACCACTTCCTCTACTCTGTATAATAAAAATACCCAATTTATGTTTAAATACCCAACATCCATTTAACATTTTTAGAAACATCTTAGCTAATCTATTTAGCGACAACTACTACCTATAATAGATTTTATACAAATTTTCTTAATACTAAGTTGCTAGTGTTTCATCTAACTTACACATCACTTAATCAAATGCTATTAACGCCTTATAAAAGCCTACCTAATGGGGAAGATCAACTGGCTTGTTGGGCTGAGCTTTCTTTCCAGGTTCTATGCACCCTCATGGCCTTTGTGCTCCCTGCTTTTTTGTATATTTCATACAATAACAATACAAAATAAAGAGTATTTTTCTTTTAAAGTAGACCCAGACTGGGCTGGAGAACCAAAAGCCGCTGTCCTCTGTGGAGGCGGTTCATGGCTATCCTTGTGAAGCTGATCTGGAAAGGTGCAAAGCAACAGCCTTCGCCTGTTCAGGAACTTCGAACTTAGCGCCTTTCATTCCAAAATCATTTGGATCCTTTGGTGGGGATTTACTGTTCATTAGCTTTTGAGCTGGGGGGGTGGCGGGGGGGTGCAGAAACTCCTTCAGCTGGAGGGCTGAAATCCACTTTGGAGCATCTCTTGGGGTCACATTCCAGTGGCGCCCTGAAGGCAAAAAGGATAGGGCCTGAAATACCGAAATAACAGCGCATTTAATTTACAGCTCTTACTGTGGGGAGCCTGGCCATAGATGAGGCATTTCAGTCTTTAACATAGGCGGAAGCTGCACAACAGCTGGATTGGGAGCCCCCAATCCTTGAAATTCCACACCCTTGCATGATGAGTTGTATATGTGTTAGCATTACTTTGGATAAACCTGGATACCCTTTAGCATTACTTTGCTTTTATCTGTAACTTATATTCCTCCTGCTTTACTTTCCTGCCTTTTTGGAACATTTACTTTGGACCAGAAACGTTAACAGTTGAAAGTGTGAATACCTGAAATCTGAGCCTTGCAGACTTTGGATTCCTTGTGGAAATCTAATCACCTGGGAAAGTGACTGTGGTGCTAGTAGAGACTGTTGGCCATCTCCATCCCAGACCTCATCCCTCCCTCCGCTAGGACAGGAGAACCATTGCTCAGGCTCAGGGCCGGCTCTACTTTCTCCCCATGGAGATGGGAAAGGCCATGCCTGAGAACTTGGAGATCTACTCCCAGCCAATGTAAACTGTTTACACAACCATTTAGCCCCGAGGAGCAAATCAGGTACATGCGTACCCTTGAATGTGTGCACACGCACAAGCCCAGGAGCAAAACCCTCCCTTTACATTTGATCTCTGCTGAAAACTTTGAGCTAAAAACTACAGAATGGAATTCAGCAGGAACAAGCACCAAGTTCTGCACTGAGGAAAAACATAGAAACATAGAAACAGAAGGGGTATCCCAGGCCATCTAGTCTGACCTCCGGCACCAGCCGGCTCCGCTCACGACATGCCCACCATGTGAAATAAAGAAACCAAATGCATCATTACAAGATGGGGAATATTTAGCTCAACTATTCTGCAAGTGAGAAGGATCCTGGAATGGCTGTAGATCACAAACTGATCAGTGTGATGTGGCTGCAAAAAAGACAAATGCGCATTCCCATCTGTGGAATGCGCTCCCCAGAGAGGTCCGCCTGGCGCCTTCATTATTTGCTTTTCGGCGCCAGGCCAAGACCTTATTATTTAAATGTTATTTTAATTAATTGTTAAATTATTTATTGCTTTTATCTAACTCCGGGATGTGTTCCAATTCTGTATATTTTTGTATATTGTTATTTATTTGACTGGAAGCCGCCCCGAAGCTTATGCGAATGGGGCGGCATACAAGCACTCCAAATAAATTAAATAAATAAATAAATAATATTTTAGGTTGCTTTAATGGAAGTATAGTTTCCAAATCAAGTGAGGTGCTGGTTCCCCTCTATCTGGTTCTCCTTAGGCCCCATCTTGAGTATTGTGTCAGTTCTGAGCACCACACTTCAAGAAAGATGTAGACAAGCTGGAAAGGATTCAGAGGAAGGCAGCCAGGGGGGTCTGGCAACTGGAAACAAAGCCCTGTGAGGAAAAATTGAAAGAACTGGGCATGTTCATCCCTGAGAAGACTGAAGGGACAGGCTAGCACTCTTCAAGTATGTGAAAGGTTACGAACAGGAAGGCCGGGATCTTTTCTTGATCCTTCCAGAGTGCAGGACATGGAAAAATGGGCTCAAGCAACTGGGAGCCAGGTTCCAGCTGAACATCGGAAGAAATTCCTGACTGTTCGAGCAGTGCAGCGATGGAACCAATGGCCTAGGGAGACTGTGGGCTCTCCCACACTGGAAGCATTCAAGATGCAGCTGGCCAGCCATTTGGGAGGGACGGTTTATCTTGGAGCCCTGCACTCAGCAGGGGGTTTGACCCAATGGCCCTCTGGCCCCTTCTAACCCCACTATCCTATGATTCTATGGTGGATTCCTTTGCTAACACTCAGTGCCTGGAAGGGACCCCAAAGCCATTTCTTTCGGCAGCACTCAAGGCTATCAGATGTGGAATTTGCTTGGTGGACCACAAGGGCATTGATGGCCAACCGTCTGGCACTCCCAGTGTGAGCACCCATATTTGGCCACTGCTTGGCTCACGGCTGAACATTCCTGCATTATGGAAGAGCAAAAACAGAGGCATGAATGGTGCAAAGGACTCTTGGCCTGCTGAAGACAAGTCATGGAGCAGAAAGAAGGCACACAATCACCCACGTTTCCAGCACAGCTTTTCGCCTGGCTTGGAAAACATGAGTCATCTCTTGAGGAGCCTGGAAGATTACAGTCCTGTGCTTGCAACAGAACAAACTCAGAAAAAAGATCAGCAAAACCTCCCAATTGGTTATCGTGCACCATGAGCAAGAAACTGAGACATCCCTGCCCTGGCCCACCTTCACACTAAACTCCCAGTTCACAGTGGGAGAGGAGTGGGAGAGAAACTCCCCAACAGCCTTAATTATTATTATTTCAGCCTATCAATAACAACCTTGCAATTCAGCAATTTCCCAGTATCTCATTTGTGTGGACTTTTCGGGACAGCTGCTGCACACAAAGATTTCATCGAACCAAGCCAGTTCCGCAGCTGCAGAGAAGACATCTGCAGTGGCAATTTAATTCTGCATTTCTTTTACGCAAGTAAGCATGCATGCATTAAATAGGTATTTCTCTTTTTAAACATGCCAAAGCAAATTCAAGGTTCATGTAATGGAATACAATGCAGTGACCATTGTCTGCAGACTGGCTTCTTTACCGCAGCTTGGTCTCTGGTGTCTCTGCTTTGACTCTTCCACCTGGAGGGACCCTGCAAGGGGACCGGTGTACTGAGTTAGTCTGGGTTCCTCTCACCACTGCTCTTGGCTTCCCTGATGCTCACAAACTTGTTCACCACATCAAGGTGTGCATCCCACAGTGGGATTTGTCAGCATTAGGCACTAAAAGCCAAGCCTTTAGAAAAGATGACCTTCCCTTCAATGGTTTTAGCAACAGAGGGATGCATTTAGTCCCAAGAACATTATAGGTAGAACGCTATAGAAGTTTGTTTGTTTGTTTGTTTATTGGATTTCTAAACCACCAGGAATATGAAAGTACATGATTTCTACACCACCAATCATTTCTATGTGATTTCTACATTAGTCGAGATGGTTCTTCAGGTGGTCTAGAAAGCCATAGCAACAACATATATATATATAATAAAATCAGTAACATTAAATCTAACTTGCATAACATATCGATAAAATAACAATAAAATGGTAAAACCCCACAGCAGTCACAAGTCAGATTAACCCAGGAGCATGGTAGCACTAAAATACAACATATGCCATGTAAATACAAGATAAAAAGTTCTTTTTAAATTATTGAAAATTACTAAAATCATTTTATTATAATTATTATTTATTTTATTAGAATTGTTTTATTAGAACTATTATTTATTTAAAATTATCATAACATTTTGAAATTAAAATAATAACGCTCCTATAGAAATGTTGGGCAAATAAAAAGGTTTTTGCCTGGTGCCAGAAACAGTAGAGGGTTGCTTTGGGGAGCTGATTCCAAAGTCGGGGTACTGAATAATAATTTAGTATGCAAGTATATGAGTAACATATTCAGCTGATGCAAAATTGCAGCCACATTTTTTATTCTTCTCCATTCTGACCCAAGTAATTGGCCGATAGGAGAACGTTTAATCTTGACTGGGTTAAGGCTACCCTCATTTTAATATTTGGCAAGTCTAACGATTGGGAGTGATAGCTATGATGGAATAAAGGAAGCATAAAAACTGTTAGATTATTAAACCATAATCCCAGTTACCTGAGATTGCATTGAGAGCAATATTGTTTTAGCTCTGTCATATCCTGGAGAAAAAATCCTACACTCGTGTTGCATGTTTTTCTTCCATGAGCCCCTCTCTTCCGACGAAACCAAAATACATTCTGATCCATGCTTTATTTTAAAGGAGAAAAGCAAGGCTAATCTAAGAGCTTCTACTTTAATAGTCATTATACCCGGTTCTCTATGAATCAGTTCTTGTTTTGCAGAAACAGGAACTGCCCAAAGTCCTTGCAGAATTTTATTTTAAGCTCTTTCTAGTTCTAATTTAGTCATAGCCCATGACAGAGTTCTATATGGCAATTCTGGAAAGACTAGTCTTATGCAGATGAGGAGTCTTTCAGGGAGAAAAGTTGGCAACCGTAATTCAACGCCCCAAATATGGCTGAATACATAGCAATTCAACGCCAGACAAAAAGCATCTGCCTTGTGAATGGACAGATGTTTCTGTTTCCTTTTCTCCCACAGTCATATGTTTAAATTTTCATGCTCTTCCATCATGTTTACAAAGACATTTGCCAACTTTAGCAAATCCTTATTTAAATTGTCCCTCACACCCCTCCACCAAAACAAAATTCTTGCCCATCCTAGGCTCTCCTAGGCATCATAGTTCATAAGTTTGACTCAGGACTGTTGGGATCTAAACAAAAGTAAGTAATGGCTGATTCCCCCATTTTTGAAAACAGAAAACCCAGTTATTACTTGGAGACAAATCTGGTAAATGCTCTGAAGATCTCAAAATCCACAAATGTATGCATTGTATGCATTTGGAATTTTAGCTGAGGTGTTTATTACACAGGGAAATCTGAGTGATGAGTCAGCAGTCGGGGCTTCTGTCTGCTGATCCTTAAAGACAGGACAGAAGAAGTCATGTGAGGCGGGGTCTTCCTCTCTGAAGCTTTTTTTTTTTTTTTTTTTTTTGCAGCCAGGTTAAAGGAACTGTCTCTTGGCGCAAATAATCATGCAACACCTTTTGGACGTTCCATGAAATGGTAGGACAACATGGCATGCTGGAATATGAACGGAGGGGAAAAGGAGGGGAATGTGGGGTGGGGGGGGGAGATCATTAGCCCAGCTTCTGGGAAACTCTACAAAACTGGCTGAGCATAAATTTAGGATCCTACACAATGATCTAAAATATGAAGCATGAAGCACTGATGTTAGTGAAACACTAAAGGGTTTCACTAAAGTAAAGGGTTTCAGTAAAGGGTTTCACTCTAAGTGGCTTGCAATCAAAGAAATGAAAACATTTTTTTAAGTCCAGCAGGCTCCCAAATGACTCCCAAGACAGTGGCAGATAATCAAGACAGCAGATGTGAACTCTATTCCCATAGTGTGCCATGATTTAAGCGGTTATTCCTTTCTTTTCTTTTCTCAAAAACAGGGTTGGCGAACAGTTCATTTTGTTTTTATCCTAACTTATCTGGGAAACATGTTTGGGGTGTGAACCGAAGCATGAATGCTATGCTTCAGGATCCAGTGTCTAAAGCTATCTAGCTGCCCTACTGGGATTATTTCAGGGTTGTCCAATCTGATATTGTCACTCCTTGCTTTGGGGACAGATTTTTGTGGAGTGGGGTGAGCAGAAAGTAGCCTGCCTCCTTGATTCTTGCCCCTCCCCGTTCTATTTTCCCTAGATGTCCTGAGGAGACCCAAATTCAGAATTCAAACCCTAATACTGGGGTTCCTTAGCTTTAAGATTACTTCTAACATTGGAGAAGAGACAGTCAAGGTGCAGCTGGACAACCATCTGAGTGGGATGGTGCACCTTGGCATCCTGCACCAGCAGGGGGTGGACTTGATGGCCTTCATGGTCCCTTCCAACTCAACTATGAGATGCAGATTAGATTTGGTCTTGTGTCCTGCCTGTTGTTTTTGACTGACAGCCCTTGAACACACACACACACACACAGCACCCGCATATGGTGCTTATTCTCATGCTATCTATCACAGGATCAAGGAAGAATACCCTGCCAAGGGAAAGGCCAGCCATCTGCCAAAGAAGCAGCCATTCCGGGATATTTGCACAAAATACCTGGATTGCTCCAAGGCCCCTGTGCTTGCGAGACAAGAGGACTGGCGCCTTGGTCTCTTTACCGTAATCCCAGTGAGAAACCACCAGCCTGGCTCCAGCTGGACCGAAATGCCTGTTTACGTTCCTGTGGCATCACCTTACCCATCATGTGGCTGTTTATTCAGAAGTCCATTCCGGTGTGTCTAATACAGCTCGTTCCAAGATGAGCGTTTACAGCAAGAGTACAGCCCAGAAACCCGAACCTTCACAAACAAAGATGAGACATGGGAAAGAAACACAGTTACCCACATCCTTTTTTTAACACAACTGCTCATGCGGCAGAACCGTAAAATAAATGTGGTGCGACCCACACAAATGAAAAAAAGAATGACTGACCATGTGCAGCAATGCGCTTACTTAACTTGCCGAGGCACCATATCAGGACCCGACAATCAAACTGGCATTTCTTTTTGCTTCCTGATTACAAGAAGATTTGCTTGGCAAATGTAAGCATCATTTTGATGCAGAGATACTGTTGTAATATGTATAGCAAAGGTTTCGTTCTTCTTTCATTCTTAGCCCATGCTTGCTTTGAGGAGTTCCAGGGTAGAACGAATGGCAGGAAGATGCAGGGAGAGGATGCAATTGTCAGTTACCTGCTGGATGCTCTGCGGTTCTGCGCCCCAGAGCTGCGCTAGGACAAGCTTCTCAAGGGCAAGGAGCTGGCCAATTGATCCGACTCCTTCACTGACACCGATAAGGAGCGCTGAGGCCAGCATCACTGAGCACAATCCCACCGGTTATCCTTTATGGATCTGCGCCTGCAAAGCATTTTATCTTGCCCTTTGGCCGGAAGGCGCCTGGAGTGGATTGCAAGACTCCCTCACGTGGCAGCCCCCAGATTCTGCAAGCTCCTGCTCTGAACACACATGAGTTACAAGGAGCGGGATGGGGAAGAGGGAGGGGGGCGTCTGAGTGGGAAGGTGGACGTGGGTGGCCTGCAGCAGCAGGGGGCTGGGCCCGACGGCCTTGCTGGCCCCTTCCAGCTCTCCTGTTCTGCGGTTCCACGGCGAGAGCGGTTCAGAGCGCCATCCCTTGCAGGCTCAGTTTGGGAAAATGTCCTCCAACTCCCAGCACGTTCCACCCAACCACCAGGTGCTTCCAGTCCTTCAGGGCAACCCGCAGGGCTTGCAGTTACATTAGAGAGAGAACCAGCTGCACGGCCTCTTCCGGGCTTTTTGCTCAAGCCTGTCTCTCTGGGCCCAGTACGGAGTCACATCTGAACAAATGTCAGTTCGCACAAAATGTGCAACCTGTTTGTCTACATGACAGGAGCATTCCTTGCTTTTTCTCACAAGGAAGCAATGCCAGATTGCCCATTCCGTCCTCAGTTCCTGCCTTCTCCCCCATCCTGCTGGCTACACCAACTCATTGCTGTGTTATTGATTGGTTGGTTGGTTGCATTTATATGCCGTCCCACAGTCTGAAGGCTCTCCGGGTGGCTGACAATATAACATCAAGTCAGTTAAAGCAGCAACTAATGCTGCTAATGCATTAAGACCATATAAAACCAGTAAAAAAGTACAAAACAATGTGAGATACAAAAATAAGATACAGAAATGAAATACAAAACTGGCAGTACAGTACTAAGAAAAAATGAAAAAGATGAGCAGCAAAAATATTAACACTGTTAAAAAGCCAAGTTGGCTACTAAACACCTGCTTGAACAAAAAGGCCCTTACCTGGTGCCTGAAAGAGATCAATGATGCTGCCAGGCTCGCTTCCCTGAAGAGCATGTTTCATAAGCGAGGTGCCAACACAGAAAAGGCCCTGAGGCCTCAGAATACAGAAAGCATCATGCCTGCCCCCAGCAAAGACCCTTCTGGTCCAGCATTCTGTCCCCATGGTGGCCCACGTCGCAGGACATCAGGGCAACGCACTCTCACATTCACGCTGACTCACTTCGAGAACCATCCAGGTTGGTACCAATCACTCTACCCGCTAGCAGCAACTTCTATAGCCTAACAACATGTGTATAAAAGACCTCCTGAATCTCCCACCTATCAATTTTAGAAAGAAATCCCCACCAGGGCTTTTTCCAGGTTTTTGAGGGTGCTCGGGATAGACCCCCTGAAAGAGGGGGCAAGTGGCAGCACCTTCTGCTTCTCCCCCCCCCCCCCCGCCCCACACACACACACCATTGGCTGGACCAGAGTGAGAGGCAGGTGGGCAAGCAGGTGAAGGGAGCAATCCCTTGGCAGGTGCCCAACTCTGCCACAACCGGATGCAGGCCCTGAGCCCCGCTCTCATACTGGGAGAGCTTTCTCACGCCAGGGGTAATTGCATGCATCTCTTTCAGATCCCTCCTCTGAGCTAAAAGCCCCAGGCAGGAGGGATCGGCTCAACCTTTTCCTTCCAGCAAGTGCAGTAAGGAAGGTGTTGCTACTGAACAGTCACACTCTGAGTGAAGATCACAGAACTCTGCTTCCCCCTCTCTTTTGGGGTAACCAACCCGGTGCCCTCCAGATGTTCTGGACAACAGGTCCCATCACTCCCGGCAATCGTGAGGGTTTATGGGAGCTGAAGCCTAAAGCATCTGGAAGTCAGCAGATTCCTACCGTGGGATTACTGTGGATCCTTCCAAAGAGAGGGAAAAGTCTTTATGCGGGAACATTTCCAGGTACAACTACTTGAAGAGCAGGGATGCTACTCCTTTTACCTTTCCTGAGGATCCGGGTTAGCAACGGCCCGTTGACCTCCACTTCCATAGGTCAGATTAGGAAATCTCTGCAGCTCAGCAGTGACTTGGGGCAAAGCCACGTGGAACAGGAGCTGCCATGTTTGTTTCTTTTATGCGTTTTCCTTTAACATGCAATAGCAAAGGGCGAATAGTCCAGCCCTTCCAACAAAAAGTGTGCAAGAGGGAGAATAAAAAGAGATAAACCTTTCTGCTCCCTCAGCCCACGGCCTTATCAGTTTCTAACACCGCGGACATTTATCTCTCTAACCAAGCACATATAAATTTTATTTGATTTATTGTTATCTTTATACACTGCCCTTTTTTCTTCTTGCAAGTAACAAAGGGTCACTTACAAATTCCCCCTCTACAGCATTTCATCCCCACAACAATCTGTGAGGTAGGCTGGGCTGAGAATATGTGACTGGCCCAAAGACGGGAAACGTCATGACTTGAGTGAGGAGCAGCGCCTGAATCTCCCGCCTCCCCATCCAGCATGCTCACCACCACGCCACGCTAGGCTCCCTGACAGAGGCTCATCACCGCTCTGTTTTCATGTGAGCAGGGCAGGCATGTGATTAAAAGAACCGGCGGCCCCTTCTTCTCCAGCTTGGCCTCTTCAAAGGACACTCTTCTGAAAGCTGTCCAGTCAAATTCTGCACAGAGGTAAAGAGCTATAAGGACTGTAGTGGACGGAAGGTTGAGCCCTTGAAGTGCAAATTGAGCAAGGAGGCACATGGTGGGGAAACTGTGAGATTCCCGGCACTGCAGTGAGATGCTCCGTATTTCTACAAGCATTCTTCAAAAAGTTTTGTAACTGTTTATTAAGAATTGAGAGCCAGTGTGGTGTAGTGGTGAAGAGCATGGGACTGGGACTCAGATGATCTGGGTTCTAGTCCCCGCTCGGCCATGGAGCCAACTGGGTGACTTTGGGCCAGTCACAGACTCCCACCCCAACCTACCTCACAGGGTTGTCGTTGTGGGGATAAGATGGAGGAGGAGAATGAGGTAAGCTGCCTTGAGTCCTTTGTGGGAAAAAGGCAGGATATAAATCGGAAAAAAAAAATTCAAAAACAAATTACATCACTTTTGTACATAGTTGCTGTCCTTTGCAATGCATCTTTCCCAGCGTTGTACCACCTTTTTAATGCCATCAGTGAAAAATGTATAAATATATTTATAAAAAAGAAAAATGCTGAAACTTGGAAGATCCCTCATATTTATAGAAGAATGTCTCAGCCTGCATCTAGAATATAAATTAACATTTGATGCATGTCATATCCTCTTCTGTCCTCCCTTCTGATGCTTCATAAGTGCTCGCCCTAATTGCAGGTGAGAAAGCATGTTCAAAAATCATATCTATTTGCCTTCCTAGCTCTTTCTTTATAGGCTCCGTGAAGATGAGGACTGAGTAAGGTTGCAGGTGGTCAAGGGTGGATCGTTCCCTCCCACTCCACCCTAACCTGAAGGCAGGTTGTTGCCTCACCCGCGTGCATATTCACTCAGCTCTCCTGGGCTGCACTTTTTGCCTTCAAAACACGCAGTCCTCAGAACCTGTTCAGCCGGAGGCATCAGTGGAGCGACAGCATTGTGAACGCCAAGCGTAACCATCCCTGGCGTCCTTCAAGTCCCTTTGGAAACTGCTGGAGGGCTGCAACAAGACGCTGCAGCGTGCAGTGCTCCTGCTCGGAGTACTTCATTCCAGGTGTTGGCAAGCCACTCAGAAATCAAGTGGCCACTGCAATTCCCATGGTATTTGACAGCCTTTGGGGTATGTCTCTTTAAGAACAAAACAAGAGCCAAACATATGCATGGCAAAGATTGGGAAATGGGTCAAGACTGAATGGCCCTGTGCAGAGCCCAGCCTTTCCAAAGGGCAAGTATGGAAGACTAAATTTAGCAACGCCTTTCAAATCAAAAGGGCATGTAATCCAGAGTGCTTGGAGTGTGACCAGGAAGATGAGACATCAAGTACTATGAGGAAGAGTTGAAGGAGCTGGCCTGGAGGAACGGGAAAATGGCAGCAGCCGTCTAATATCTCAGAGGCTGCCATAAAAAACAGTGTAGCAGACATGAACTGGGTTCACATGACTCAACACGCCACAATGTTTCTTTTCTTTAGTATAGTTTGTCATGTTGTCCAAATCTAGTTGTGGTATTTTAGCATGGCGTGTTTGGTCTCTAGAACCCATGATGAGAATCAACCACTTGTTCTATGGTTTCTCCATACCATGGTGGCTTCTCTTCATGTCTGAACCTGGGATTGTGGTTTCCATGGTCCAGGAATGCAACTACCACAGAGTCCTCTGGAAAGTGCAGCAAGCGCAGGAGCCACTCTAGCCGTCCAGTCTAACAAGAGGCGTCTCACCACCTGCGGTGCCCCTAGAGGCTGCTCCTCGCTCCCAGCCCTTTTCCTACTCTCCTCTAAGTGGAGGCGTTCTTGGCCACTGATACCTTCTCCTCCATAACTTTGTCTGAGCCTCTTTGGAATCCACCCAGGCTGTGATCTCAGAGCTGGCCGTGCTGCACTCTCCTATCAGTCTACTGCCGTTCTCACAGATGCCACTTCCGACTTGCTCTTCCTTTTGTTTTCTGGCAAAAGCAATGAGGAGGCACCCGTGGGGA